GACTCACCTACTTTGGTCATGTTGTCAGAAGGGACCATTCCCTGGAGAAGGAGATCATGCTTGGTAAAGTGGAGGGTCAATGAAAAAGGGCAAGGCCCTCAATGAGATGGATGGACACAGTGGCTGTGACTATGGCTCCAGTACAGCAAGGATCGTGAGGCTGGTGCAGGAGCGGGCAGTGTTTCAATCTGTCATAGGTAGTTCACTATGAGTTGGAGTTGACTCGATGGTACCTAACAACAACAACAGCAACAACAACAAACCTGTGGTTATAATCCCATTTGGGAATGGTTTTGTTAAGTTAATGAGGCAGTATTAGGGTAAGGTGTGTCTTGAATCAATCTCTTTTGAGATATAAGAGGAGCAGTTTAAGAAATCAGAGATGGGGGGAGATAGATGTCATGTGACACCAAGATCACTAAGGGACCAAGGAATAGGAACTAAAGAAACGGCAAGGACCTTCCCTTGAGTGGACAGTGGTTTCCCCTCCCTGGATGGCACCCTGAATTTGGATGCTGTTAACCAGAAAGGTTGCCACTTCAAACCTCCCAGCCACTCCGTGGCAGAAAGATGAGACAGTCTGCTTCCATAACGATTTACAGCCTTGGAAACTCAATGGGGAAGTTCTACTCTTTTCTAAAAGGTCAATATGAGTCAGAATCAACTTGATGGCAGTGAGTTTTGGGGTTGAAGGCATCCGCTGGTGGCATTTCTGTTGCAGCAGCACTGGATCGTTAAGACAGTAGGTGGTTAGTAATTTATATTGATTTGATTGAATGAATGACTAAAGAGCCTTCAAATTCTTTCCAAATATGATTTTTTAATTCGATGTGTACTTTCTTACTTAACAGTCATCTCAAGAAAACATTTATAACATCAGGCAAGGACCACTCTTGAACAGAAGCACGGTGTATGGTGGGATGTTTTATTTAGATACATTTGCTGGCAAGCAGAGGGAGAAGGTGAGGTTGAGTAGCAGAGGATGGGTCACAGAGTGGTACAGGGGGTCCTGAGAGGTGTCTAGTAGGTAGCGATGGTCTGCTTAATCCAGTTCACGTAGTTGCAGACCTTGGTGTAGACCCCAGGCTTGCCTTTCTGAGCACAGCCATAGCCCCAGGAGACAATGCCCTGAAGTTCTCCATTGCAGACCACAGGGCCACCAGAGTCACCCTGAGCAAGAAGGAAGAGATAGTTAGGACCCTCACCTGGGCCGAGATGGAAAAACGGCTCAGGAAAACCCTCCATTACCCTGGGGCTATCTTTTCAGGCTGCCATGAGTAGTGAAGCACCTTCTATTCTCCTGGAAATCTAACCCTCACTCGCCATCCTCTACCCTTTTCCCTCCTCTCCACTTCCAGCTCCGTCTCCTTCCTTAGGTGGAGGCCTGTAGGGCCAAGAAGGGTGTGGATGGGGAGATTTAATGTTGCCCAGCTATCCCTGCTCCTTCCACAAGGCTTCCCTTCCACAACACACTTCTGCGAAGTGCACCCCAATGTACCCTTGGCACACCATCTACTGTGTGTCATTAGGATTAATGGTTATCCTAACAAAATAGAAGACCTAGAATTCATCCCAGAGCTGTACCTCACCCCTATTTATAATCAATCCCCAGTGTTCCAGAAAAAGGGAAATAGGATGGGACGGAGTGAGAGTAAGCTGGGGGAAGAAGGAGGGGAGAGAAACGTACTTGGCAAGAGTCCTTGCCGCCCTGCAGGAAGCCCAGACAAATCATGTTGCTGGTAATCTGGCCTGGGTAGGCTTTGCTGCAGGCGCCATCAGTAAGGATGGGGGCCTCCAGGCACTGCAGGAGCTCCGGGTAGTTGTCTGTTGGGTGCAAGAGTTAAGACGGAAGGAGATTACCCACAAAAGTCCTGGAATTTCCTTCCCAGTATCTCCTCCCTTCTTCCTAACGCTCCCACTCTTTTTCTTAGATTGCTGACAGCTTCTAGTTTGGGAGTAAATGCTGTTCGGGAAGGTTCTAATCAGCAAGTTGTTTTCTCTCTGACAGGACCCTCAGTAAGCACAGACTTAAGCCTAGAGGCTTTATCTTTATCTTCAGGTCTGTACTGCAGGCAGTTTCAAATCACATAACCTCTGTTCTATTTATCTCTCCGGTTCCTATTTCTCTCAGCATCACTAATCACCCTTCACTTGCTGAATGCTTTGGCATCTATTATGGCTCACTTTTGCTGTGTTTCCTGCATGGTCCTAGCAAAAAATGTCTTCTTCATTTTGATTAATATATTCTAAGGCTCCATATTGTGTAGAGTGGCAGCTTGGGCTAACCGATTCTCAGTGTGCCTACCTCCTCTAGAACTCTCAGACTGGGCGTGTTAGTCCCAAGACCACTTACAGCCATTGCTGTCAGTGTTGCCCCAGCCAGAGATGAGGCACTGAGTGCCAGCAGCAGCACAGGATGTTGGCAGAGAGACTGTGGACACACGAGTGTTGACAGTGGCGGGGGAGTTCAGTTTAATCAGCATGATGTCATTATCAAGGTTGCCCGAGTTGTACTTGGGATGACGGATGACCTTGGCTGAGTTAATGAACTGCTCATCGCCCTCAAGGACATCAATGTTGTGTTCTCCCAGCCGCACCTGGATTTTGCTGGGTTAAAGGATTAAAAGTGTCCTGAATATCTAACTTGAGGTCTCCCTCACCCCCAAACACCCCAGTCATGAGCACAAGCACAGCCATCCAACCCTTGGAGCTTTCACTCACACAGGTGTCTGTAAACTCAAAGTCCATCTATCAGACACAGTGAAGTTAGACTCGACCCAAGGTTAATGTCACTGCAAGCAGACTCAAAGCCCTCCATCTTGTTAGAACAGACAGCTATAGGGATGGGGTACAATGACCCCCATTAAAGAGTAGGAGAGGGAAGGATGTTGGTGATCGACCTGTGCTTGCCTTTCTCCTCTGTTGGATTCTGATGATCGTAAAGAGTTGAGGCAAGAGTCAGAGATGGTACAGCATATTAAGGGGACAGAATGAGTCATGCTTATTTTTAACATTATTCTGGAACTTCCATGCCCTTCATTGCCTCCATGCACCAACTTCTCTTGGCTGACCTATCATGCCCAGGACTCCTCCACAATCCAAGCTCTTCTAGACATGCCTTCCCTCCACCCACTCCCATGTCTCATCATTTGGGAGGACATCAAGGGAACTCTGAGGCCCCTCTCCATTGAGAAGTCCCTCCGTAAACCACAGAATGGGTGAGGGAATGGGGAGGCTCTTAGAAGCTCGATGCTTCACTCCTCTGTAGAGCATTCTAATTTTGGCAGGACTTGGGGATGGACTGATCTTCAAACACAGGTCTATGGGTATTTGTACTTACGACTTATAGCAGTGAGCAGCGGACACTACCCACAGGTCATTGATGAGGGAGCCACCACAGAAGTGGTAGCCTGAGTTCAAGGACACCTGGTAGGGCACAGAATTCTTTTGGCAGGTGTAGCCCCCAACGATCTTGTCATCATCATCATCAGTGGGGAAAGCAGCTGATAGGGAGAAAGTTGGAAACTATCCATTAGACAGATCCTTAGAATTTCAACTCCACCATGAAGTTCTTGCAGATTAATCAGAAAAGAGCTGACAATGTTCTCTTGTCTCATATAATCAGGAAATGGTGGTTTTCCTGTAATTTGTTTCAAAACCTTATTATTCCATCTTTAACACTCACCCTACTTATACCATTCTGATGTAAGCATTTCATTTCCAATTTGTGTTTTAAATTTTGTAAAGAAGTTTTTTTTTTATGTGTACCATACACAAACACAAACATGTACGAAGATCAGAGACCCCTACACAATAAGTGCCCTTAACAGCATTATCTAAGGGTGAAGAGCCCTGGTCAGCAGCCATGCAAATAGGTCTTCAGTAAAACTTTGCACTATGATCCCAACCAAACCAAACTCACTGCCATGGAGTCAGTCCTGACTCAGAGCGACCCCTCCTTGGGTTTCCGAGGTGGTATCACTATGGAATTAGATTGCCCAATATTCTTTCTGAGGAGTGGCTGGTGGGTTTGAAGCACCAGCCTTCTGGTTAGTAGTCCAAGGCCTTAGGCACTACACCATGGGTGGTTGTTTTTGGTAGTTGATATATGAAGTCCCCATGCGATAAGGACAAGGAGATATAGAAGCTACCTGAGACTGGGAAAGGGAGTTTTGAACTTTTGTTCCCCAAATTTATCTTCCTGTTTGCAGCCTAAAATTTTCACAAAGTCATTTCAAGAAACATTATCAGTTCTCCCTCCCCAACTATTCCCCTTATTCCAATTATCTTCATGACATTTATCAATTAATTCAGCATTGCAAAGAGTGGCCCACTAACTTATCAAAATTTCCTGCAACTTCACAAGTCTGTGGTTATTTATATGAGCCCTACTGTTCAAGTATTTTAAGTTCATTTTAAGGAAGAAGTTTCAAGGGGACAGACGAACTGAAATCATACCTGCCCAAACTGGGAAAACTGAGAGTTCAGTTTTCTCTATCTCCTTTCATGATTGAAAAACATAGTCTCTTACACCAGAGAGACTTTGCTGGCAAAGGTGGTATAAGCACAAGCCCATATAAATAAAATATCTTTGCCTCATGAGGTCCCTAGGCTCTTGTCCTTTATGGAGAAGCTTGGACTCTGACACTAACAGACACTTCAAGGAACCCAAAATCAGTCTCAGCTATTGGTGCAAATGGCTAATCATTGACTACTAACTGAAGGGTTGGTGGTTCAAGTTTACCCAGAGGCATGTTGGAAGAAACGTCTGGTGATCGACTTCTGAAAACACCCTGGAGCCCAGTTCTGCTCTGCCACACATGGGTATGCCAGGAGGCACAGTTGATTTGATGGCAAATGCTTTTTTTTTTTTTTTCCCACTAACACCAAATACTTAGAAAAATCAAGACAGGCACTTCCCTAGTGTGGGCTGCCTTTCCTCATCTCTCCTCTTCACAGCCTGTGCCTGTCCTTGGAAGTTCAGAGCAAGTCTTATCTCTTCATGCTTCCACCCTCGTCCTGCTGCTCACTGTGACCTTCCTGAACTGCAGCACTTGGACGCTAACAAGTGAGCTTTAAATACCTGTAAGCTTAGGTATTGTACGCTGCTCTTACAACGTGCAGGACTACAGAGACTATGTTTGGTATTCATCGGTATCTCCTGCAACACAGCCATAAACACATGATAGACATCTGTGGTAGCCACCTACTGATTCACTAAAGGAGACTCACCAGCAGCTCCCAGGAGAGCAAGGAAGATGAAGGCCTTCATGGTTGTTCACTGGATCGGGACTATTGAGTAGAATGAAGTAACCTCCTCTATACCTATTTATACCTGCAGATTGATCATTAGCACCCACAACCATGGGTGCCAGAAACATGATTCCACTGGAAACTCACAGATCCAAATTTAGAACTCGAACCTGTGCCAAATGGAGAACAATTAAGCACCACGCATAATCATCAAGCCTTTCCCACTTTTCCAGAAGGTTATGGGAATGGAAGTAATGAGCCATCTGGTGGGAACTATTCCCTCACAAGAGGAAAGTAAGTTGGAGGAAGGCCACAGGACATAGCTCCAGGTGTCCTGATTCCCAGGCAAAATGCTTAGGACCTGGTTGCTCACAATTTCATAGCTATTGAGTGGAGAGTCCAGCATCCAAACTCTAGCACCTGACTTCAGAGTTCATGTCTCCACTGTGATACCACCATACACCATCAGGGAAATAATCTGAGCTCTGCCAGACTAAAGGCTGACTCCAAAGAGCATATGGGATTCCAGAAGATGCAAGGAGTGGGTTCCTCAAGCAGGATTTGTCAGCACTAATGGGATATGACAGCAGTGTCCAGAACGAGGGAACGGCACTGAGAACTAGTCTCTAGGTAGACACAGCACAGCCTTCTCTATGAGTCAGAGTCAAGCTGTAGCACACGAGCCCCTATGCAGCACATCTGAAATGCCATGCCAGTGGGCCATCTCTGCTTTAGCAGATTCCTTACATTTGAAATTATTCTACTGTGAAGATGAGTTTCTCTAAGGCAGAGCTTCTCAACATCAGTGTTGAATTTGGGACCAGGTAATTCTTGGTCGTAGGGAAAATGTCCTGTGCATTGTATGTAGGACATGTGGCTTCTAGATGCAGGCAGCACTCCTTTCCACCAAGTTGCAATGACCAAAAAAGTCTCCAGACATTGTCAAATGTCGCTTGGGAGGTAAAATCATCCCCAGTTGAGAACAACTATTCTAAGGAGCAGGATGAGCAAAAGAGCTGTACTTCTAAGACTACAACCATAAGAAAGTGTCTTGAGTTTTGGGAGAATATGAGCCCTTAATTGCTGACTGAATGACACCCTGTTCTGGTTCCCTAGTGCCACTCTGACAAGAATATACTACAAATGGGATGGCCTTAACAAACAGGAGTTTATTCTTACAATTTGGAGGTTTTAAGTCCAAGTTCAAAGTGCCAGGCTCTAGGGGCTGGGTGAAAGCCCCTCAACCATGTGCTTCAGCTTTGCCTCTTGCTCCTGGCCCACTGAAGCTAGAGGCATCTCTTCACTCAGGCAGCTACTGGCTGCTGAGGCTAACAAGTCCAAGGTGGACACATAAAATGGCACAGTCCTGATGTTACCAAACCACACGGCAGGCCATTAATTCAAGTCCATTGTAAGTCCCAAGGTCGGCAGAGCATGGCAGGCTGCTGAAATGACACGGCTACATGCAGGGTCCAAG